CTATCTCTACACGAGGAAAAGCACAAGTAAATTTGATTTAATTTACCAGTCTATCTTTATCAAGTGTTGATAAAGATGAAAATGATCTTTGCTGAGAGTTTGGAAAAATCGTTGTTCTTAATTTTTCTGTTTTGCTCATTGATAAAATAATCGATGACTTCTATACATTTCTATACATGACATATAAACATCTAGACGTTTTTGGATTAACTTATAATAATATAGTTAACTTAAGATTACTTCTTGGCTACATTTGAACATTTGCTAATTAAAAATTATCGGTTAATTTGAAAAAAATTAATAATTGAACAATATTATATCAATGTTGCAATAATACTGTTAATAGTAAAGTGAGATATACAAATTTTATTAATTTTATATTTAGATTAAATTAATTGAAATTATATAATACGCCATACTATTTTCTCTAATTTTTTAAAAATAGTTGAAACTAAATTAGTTTAAATTTTTTGTATATATTTATTGTACAAAAATGAACGTTCGAAATAAATACATTTATTTGTACTAAAACCAATTGTTATTTTCGTAAATGCATTAAGTAATAACATTATTATAACGTAGAAACGCTCTCGACTTAAAAACATTTTTAACGAGTTTTTAACTTAAAAAAAATTTATACATAAAAAGTTATAAAATTGTACAGGGAAGGAAATTACAAAAATGGTATATAAATAGCATGATTCTACGAAAACGAAATACATTTTTAGAACTAAATACAATTAAAACAAATTCAATACGTAATTACATGGAGAATATTGTTTAAATGGGTAGTTAAAATTTTAATTTTATTTATGAAATAATCGATGAAATACTGGCATTGGTAGACCTGGAAACAACGATTAAGCCTTTGTTATCTTATTTAATAATATGAATTAATTCAGATAATTACAGATACAGATTACACATACAAATTAATTCACGCAGAAATACAATGTAAATTATTTATTTATTATTTTTCGTTGTAATTGATGTTATATACAATAATTCCGTTAAGTACAAAAATTGGCATTTTTTTATGTAATAAAAGCTATAGTATAATACATCTGAATTAAAAAACGTTTATCAAAATCTTTTGCAAATTTTTATAATTGCATAATTTGCAGAATAATTTTTATAATTCATAAATAATTTTTATATAATCAATTACAATAATATGAAAATCTGTCAAATATTTTGGTTAATGTAGTTATAGATATTGAAATATACAATGGCCTTTCATAAGTTTTTAAAATTGATGTGTTCAATACAATTAATTAATTTTTTAAGGTTTTAAATTGTTTTGTTTTTAAATACTAATATGTAAAAAATTAAATGTTACTTAATATAGAAAATTGATAAATAATATGACAGAGGTGCATTTTTATATTCAATAAAAGTTAAATTATGATTTTAAATTTAAATAAATTTCTAATTAGAAGTCAAGGATATATTTATTTTTAGATAAATTATTAAATTAAATTATTTAAATAAATTATTTACATGAAATCTCTTTAAAATTAAAACAAAAATTAATTTGAATCGACAAATAATTTTATAACTTAGAGAATAAAGACCATATAATGATATAATAATTTAATAAATTTTAGAGTACAATAATGCAGATTATAAAATATAATTTTGTTAAAATAAACATATTTCATGATATAAATGGCTTTGAAATTAACAATTAATTAACGAGGGAATTATTATTATATATATTTAAATGCCTAAGTTATCAAAAAAGTGAAAAATGATAAAAGGGAGAATTTTCTAATTTATAAATTGTATCACATTGCAATATAAGCGTATATATGTATGATAGATATAAAGAGAAATATAAAAAGACAGAAAGAATATTTTTAATGATAGTAGATGCATGAATAACAATAAATAATTTATACTAATATATAAAGAAGACAGTATAAGTTCAGAGTGGCTAAAGCGCCACTTAGGTGTTTTGTTCTGGCGAACCAACATCCGTTCTCACATTGACTTCCTTCGCTTATTAAAGTGCGGTTATGTATAACTATCATATGTGCTTCGCTGTTCTCTTTTTCTTTCTTATCTTATATTTTTACTTATCCATTTATAATTTTATTGTTTTTTTACAGTAAACGAAAATGTGATACTAAACAATGAATTGTATAGTTTCCAAGGAAATTTTAGAAATTCTATAAAATAACTAGGTAATATTCTGAAACTAGGGCTATCACAAATTAAAATGTAATTCACGGTTCCATACGTACACATATATATTAAATTTCAATATCAATGACATTGTCAATACATAATAATTATGGTTTTCATTAAAAATTCAAATTTGCTTGTTTATTATAATATCATAGTACTTCACATATAAAAAATTTATATATTTTAATTTGATTGGTATAAATTAAATTAAAATATGAGTGATGAAATTAAATTTTTTTATCTGAATTTTCAAAACGTAATTTTTATATAAATAATTTAACGTAAATGTATAACGATTAAAGAAAAATATTTAAAAAGTATGAGGTTTGCTGAATTTTGTTAGGCATAATAAAATAATAGACGTTACAAACAAACATTTACCATCTAATAAAAATAATAAAATAAAGTATAATTTTCTGTTTGTATTATGATAAACAGTTTATTCTTTCTTTTTGTGACTGCTTTTGGATATTTATTTACCTCCATTGTTTCTTTTTCTATTTGTTTTCTCCTTATTCTTTAACGTACTTATTCTTATATAATACACAATAATTTTGACATCATTTTTGACATCTCGTCTGTTTTGATATTTCATTAATGAAAATAAACAATATGAGTAACTTGAATAAAAAAATTTAATAATTTATTATTATTTTAATTAATTTCAATTTACAATAAAAACTTTTTACTGTTCGAAGAAACTTATTTTATTAAATGATGTTAACAAAAATTCGTTTACTTATCGAGAATAACATTTTTTTATTAAGAATTATTAGTTATTAATAAAAGCATTAATTTTTAAAAAACTTAATGTTAACAAAAATTCGTTTACTTATCGAGAATAACATTTTTTTATTAAGAATTATTAGTTATTAATAAAAGCATTAATTTTTAAAAAACTTAATGTTAACAAAAATTCGTTTACTTATCGAGAATAACATTTTTTTATTAAGAATTATTAGTTATTAATAAAAGCATTAATTTTTAAAAAAACTTAATGCATATAAATTATCTAATAATTGTTTTTAATTTTCGCCCTAAATGCGGTTCATTAAAACAGCAAGTAAATGTTTTCAGAGATCGTTCATGCCGCAGTTGAGGTATAATGATTTAGTAGGCAATCCGATAATAAGGATTTTCCGGTCTTATTTTATACTTACAATTAAAGATTTGTTCCAGAATAAACAACTATTTTTCCGGCTTTATCATTACTCAACTTTCCTTTTTATATAATTTATGCACAGTTTATTCTAGCACTACTTTCTATAAGATATTTTATTAATTCCCATCATTTAGATTAATATTATTTTAGCTATTTTGTTAATATTACCATTTTCATTTACCTAACAAACAGAAGACAATAACCATTACAAGAAGTTACGATCATACGATAATTTCTAATAACCTACTATTCTGAAAAACTTGCATATTCTGCAATATTGAAGTAGAATGTTTAATTAGAATATAAAAATTAATGTATTCATCCAATATATTTAATTGTTATTGGACATTGAAAGAAATGGATAAATAACTTTTGTTTAAAAATCTGTACGACAGCAATTCTACAGTTACTAATATTTCATACCTTTGCAAGTAAACATTTGAAATCAGATAATTTATTTTATAATGAGTATAATATTCTCAGTAACTTACAAAGTATGTATTTAAATTAATATTTAGTTATATTTATTAAAAATAATATTTATGTATCTTCAAAAATTGACATTATTTTTCACAGCTGTGAAAGTGAATTTAAGAGCAATAAATAACGATATTTATTTTATATAAATTTGAGTTTGAAAGAAGCTTATGATAACAAAATTAAAACCATCGAATGTTGTAAAAGATTAAATTTTAAATATAATGTTAACAAAATTTAAGTATAAGAAAAGAATATAAAACTTAATATTAAAACTTGAGTAAAAATATTTATAATCTACATCTATAAAAGTCATTTATGATCGTATTATAACAAAATAAATGATACTACGTAACTGACTAGCAAAGAATTATATTTATAAGATAACGTAGACTAATATTAATTCACTAGTCGACTTAGCCCAACAACTAAGTTATTATATAAAATAAAACACTTCCATTTTTTACATCATTTATACGAACTAAATCGAATTGTAGTAAATTGTACATAAAAAAGCGGCAGTGAAAGGATGGTCGTCAATAAAATTTATTACCTAGATTTATCGTAATTTTTAAAACAATATTTCAGTTTTTTAAGATACAATATGGTTTATTCCTTATAAACTGTTTTCTGTAAACAACCAAATTTATTTTAACAGTTATTACATAATCGGATACATTTTATACGAGTGAGATTGAATTTTGAATTTTTTGAACGAGATTGAGATTGAATCGGATACATTTTATACGAATGAGATTGAATTTTTGAATTTTTCATATTTAAAATATTTTCCACAAAGGAATAATTTATAAATAATTAATTAAGCGAATTTTGTGTAGTTGATGCTTATGCATGCAGATGTACTGTTATTTTGTCTTCAAATTTTATTATATACCGTTAAAACATATGATATGAAAATGCTTGGTATATTTTGTAAGATATGCTACGTTATGAATTTCATATATTATAATTTGAGATCATTAACTATTTATACAAGAAATAAATTTCGATAGTATATAATAAATGGTAAAAATTATGATTTTTATAATATCTGATATAAAAAATGACCAGGCATGTTATTTTATTAATATATATATATATATATATATATATATATATATATATATATATATTTCATACTGAATATTTAAATACAAGAACATGAACTTACCTTAGAATTATGTCTTAGTCTGTTTGTCTTTTTAATTAAGTATTTTAGATAATCTGAAAATATGCTTATGCGCGTTCTCAGTCAATTAGTTGATAACTGTCATGATGCTAGTTGTAAGTTATCGCAATACTAACCTGTGGTGACAAGTAAAATTTTAGTTAGTTTTTATTAATATTTATTCGTAATTTACTTAACCTTTTATTTTCTTCATCTAATCAATTAAATACTGAACAAATATATCATGAATTTTTTAAATAGAAGGGCAGTATTGTCTAAAAAATTTATACATGTTAAATGAAGCGGATAAAATTTAAGCTAAAAATATATAAAAGTTCAATATTGTAATGTATAATCAGACAGAAGACAGAATAACCGTAATTTTTTGTAAAACTTAAAATAAATAATTTTTCCTGTAGTCAATATATATACTTAATAATTGCATATTAAAGAAGTATGAAAAACTCAGAAACAGAGACATTGTTTTTAAATTAAATAATAGTTTTTAAATCATCGATATTTGTTCAATTTTTATTCACTAACTCGGATAATTTTATAACTGCAAAGAAAAAATATACATATAATGTATATATAAAAAATGAAATAATTTTTACTGATATTACTATAATAAAAATGTCTGATTTTAATGTAAAAATAAATTTTTTAAAAATATTTATAAGTCATCACGTTTGGTATTGTTAAATTATTATATTTTGTTATAAAAGTAAAAAAATTATTTTACTTCAAATATCTACAAATTTAGAAAAATTCCTTTTATAATTAAAGAATATACAAATTTTAACATATTCATTAATGTATTCTTACAGTTTTACCAAATTTTTAATATAGCTGTACCACAAATTGATGATCTTAATTTTAATAAGAGTAATATAAAAAGGAAAGGTAGAAATATCTTAAAGGCTGATAATCAATCATAATAGTTTTCTAGTTTGTTTCTTTTTTTATCGTTTTAAATTATAGCATTAGATTTTTAAAACTTTTTTATTATTGCATGATATATTTCTTGAGTAATCCTTTTAAAATCGACAATAAATATAAGAGTTTCAGAAAAAGATTTATAAAGATAAGATTTTTCGGCTTTAGTTTATTTAAATTATAAACCAAGGATTTATTAGAATTTTTTATTTCAAATAATATACAGTATTAAATAATTATAATTTTAAAGGATACATCTTAATGTTACATGGTGTTATAAACTTTATATTAAGTTTGATAAAAACATAAAAAGTTGAATTTCTTAATGACAAAATTCTAAAAGTTGCATTTAGTCCATAAGAAACCTTAACATATTTATGAATCTTGAATCTAATATTTTTTAATACAGTTTTTTAATGCTAATGAATGAAAAAATAGATATGATAGATATATATTTTTTACTGCTCTTGCCACACATAGATAATTTGACGAAATACTAATCAAATGAAGAGTGCCAATATTAAACGTTATATGATTAAACATCAGTAATTTTAAAATCATTTAGTGTCCATTCAATATATAATGCATTATTTTGAATATTTCATTATGATTCTATATTTATAATCAACTTTTGAATACATATAATTAAATGCTCTTTTTTTCAGAAGACATATCAATAAGAATATTTTTTATTATTCTTTATGTAATATTACACGATATTCATTGAGTATTAATAATAGCAATGTAGCAATAATAATTCAATAGAAATTCAATATAATATAATATATAAACTATCTACGAATAAAAGACTTTTTGAGAACTATTAGCAACTAATTCGTTTAGTAAATAGTGGTTTAAAATGTTCCTCTAACATTATGTCGAAAGCAGGAAAGTGTTGAGTGACTTCTTAGGTTCCTCAGGTTTTTCCTGATGTTATCGGATTTCAGATCCCACATTGAAAAATGTTCTTGTGATTATTCTAATTTTTAATTTTTATTTTTTAATGTGTAATACAAAAACTCATTTATATTCAAATTGTGGGAATGTTATAAAACAAATCATGGGGGAAAAGTGTGTGGGGGAGGGGGGTTAAAAGGAAGAATTTGATTGGAATTTTATAGATAGGAATGACAAGTATGACATAACATTTCTTAATATAAAAATTATTAGAATATTTTTGCGATTGAAAATTAATAAGATTTATTTGCGAATGAAGTTTCCAATTAAGAATTATTATTAGTTAATAGTAAATTTTGTATATTGTATATGCAATAATCACGTTTGATACAAGTTTAATAATTTATAATATTAATTAAAACGACGTAAAAATAAAAAACTTATATGGCCTAAATATATAAATTTTTCCGAAAAGTATTTTATTAATGTACTTTTAATTATTATAAAGTATTATTAAGCATTTTAAATTTAATTCATTGAATTACAATATAAAAGTCACTATTAATGTATTATATTTATTTTATAATAATAAATTTACCAAAATAAAATAAACAATTGTATGTACTAACACAATGATTATTATTCAAGTAATAAATTAATTAAAATTAATTTCTTATTAGATTTAAAATTTAATTTTTCTATAATAATTACAATTCATAGAGCATTAATATTATTTAAAATTTCTGGATTTAAAATAATATCATATTAAGTTTTTACTTTCCGTATTTATTTTTATAAAATATTTTTAAATGTTCTTCGCAAATTGAATATTACAAAATAAATATTAGATGTAAATATATTTAAAATAAATATTATTAATTATCTATCTGTATCTTCATACATACATTTTTTTTTCTTAAATATAATATATATGATGAATGTTTGTATGTATGAATGAAAAATCACGGAAATTAATGTAACGTGTTTAAAATATTAGAAATAAAACGTAATAGATATTAGAACTATTAGAAACAAAGTGTAATTAGCTTTATAATATTATATAGTAAAATTAAATACAAATAAATCTAAAAAAAATGTAATAAAATAACAATAATAGTAATAGTAATTTTAAATATAAATGCAATGAAGTGGTTATTTATTTTATTAAAACTTTGTTATACATTAAAAAAATTGCAAATTAGAAAATGAAAAATAAATAATTAATAAAGATTTTTACATAAATATTATGATAAAATTAAAAATTTTTAAATTAAATACAAATATCAGATTATTAAACATATGCTTATTATGATATTGAGCTTTATCATATGTGGCAAGTCTTTCGGATTATTCATTATTTGATTATTTTCCCAATACCCATTTATTTCCTAATGAAATCACTACAATTTCACTTCATTTTAATAATTATAAAATTAAAATGAAAAATAAAATCAATATTTTAAGCAATTATAATGGGTTATTAATGCTTATATTAAAATATGAGATAATGGTAAATATAAATATATTTTTTATAATATGTTTATATAAAATTAATATAAAATTATTATAATTAAAAAAAATCCTAATCGATGCTATTGCTTTTATATAACCTGTATAAAAAGTTTTTATGCCAAGAATCTATAGAATTTATGAATTAAAATTATAAATATTTTTATCTAAATAATGAAAATTTTTAATTTTCATCTCCTATAAATATTTATCCCTGATCTCATTTATATTCACATTATTAAAAAAAAATGTATATATATTCATTTTCCATTTCTACTTTACTATTCTTTTTAATTTTCTATTTTTAAGAAATTAATTTGAACGAAAGTGTAGTGCAAAATAATATATAGAACAATTTCCGAAATATGAAAATATTAAGAATATACAATGGTTTAATTAATTCGCGTGATATTTTAATATTTTTTTAAAATAAATAATTTCCCGAATAATGCAAAAAATTGTATTATACTAATGGCTAAAAATTCTACTGTTACAAAAATAGATGTATGCTATGTTATGTAAAAATGTCTTAATCTCTGTCTTACCAAATATTAAGCAATCATATAAACTAATAAAAAATAACATTTAACTTTTACTAATATTTGACTTCTTGATCAAATATTTTGGTCAGTAATGCTGCCTTATTAATAAGTAAAAACATTCAAATTAAAAATGTATTATTTTCGCTTGATTGAATTTTCATAAAATATTTAAAGATGTCTTACATTAAACTTCAATTCATTTGAAAGAAATGTTTTATTTGTAATTATTTTGATGATGTGATGGATTATGTGTATATTATTTTCTATACTATATATCTATATATCATAGAAATAATTTTTCATAGGTTTAGAAAATTATATTATATAAAATATACAATATATCTAATATTTAATAATTCTAATTATGCATCAAATTTAATATTTTTGGAATTTAAAATCTATTTCTTATAAAGTTTTATTAAATATAATACAAATACACTATATAAAATTTTCTTATTTATTTTTCAATAGTCGTTTATAATCAATAATAAACTAATAAATATAATTAATAACAAGAACATTGTTAAGTTAATGCTATTTAGGCTTAGTAATTTAAATAATGGGAAATGTATTCATTAAAAAATATTTTCTGAATTCTGTGTTATTGTAATATTTTATTTAAATTTATTCTTAATTAAATAAATAATATTTATTTTTATTTAGAATAAAAATACTTTTAAATTAATCAGGTACAGGCTGAAAATTATTTTATAATTCGTTTTAGGTTTCATATTTACCTATAATGATGCTTTTATTTTTAAATTAATTACTTAATATAAATAATAATTTAAATATTTTCAATTAAATTATATACTTAAATTGATCTAAATGCAAATACTATTCTATAATTATAAAAAATATTATACACTAATTATAATTTAATATTCAAATGAATTGAATAAATTTTTAAAATATGAAAATATAAAATTCAACATTAATGGTAAAAAATTTGGAAAATGTATCTCATTTTGTAAACTCAAAGTTTCTCAATCAGTTTTTAAAAAGAGTTCTGTGTAGTAAGATGGAACATGTGGTTAAAACCACACATGAAAAAATAAAAATTTTAATATATTTACAATATTTCAAAATAATAAAAAGAGAAACAATTTATAATTAGATTTCTAAGTATATTAAGATTATATTAATATTTTATTTTTTTTTTGAGTTTAATTTTTTACAAATTTGTATTTACTCTAAGCTTAAAATCTTAGTACTTTAAAATATTATTTTAAGATAGATAATTGATTAATGTATTTCTCATTCAAACTTTGCTGCAAGTGAACTTTATAACTTTAACTTTTTAACTATTAAATTTTTATCTAAAAGAGATATCGTAAATTCAAATATTTAATAATCATATTCAAATATTCTCAATTAATTTTTATACTTATATATTTTGTTCTTTTAAATTATCTTAAGCAAAATAAATCTGTATTATATATATAGAAGTATTGGAGAAAAATTTAAATAAGATATAATATTTTTCATGTAAATATTGATTGTTATAAAACTAACAAAATTGGAATAGCTTTGTTTTTTTTATTTAAATTATATAAATAAATTAATTTATTTGTTGTTATCAATTTTTTTGTTTTCTTTATTTGCCTTACAATATTTTATTTCATTAATACATTGAAGGTAGTATAATATGAATTCTAGTAGAATCAGACCATGTGTATTTTAAAAACCTATTTTTATTATTTATTATAATATTTATAATGAGTTAATATACAAATCGACAAACTACAGAATTTAAAAAAGTATTTGAAGTCTTACATTGTTTACACATAAAATATTATATTGCATTTGCTTTTAATATATTGAAGACCCTAATAGATTTATCATTACTAGAGTAGTCAATTAAATAAGACAACCTTTTCATTTTTTAACAATTTATTAGTATATTAAATTTCATTAATTTCAGTGCAACGACTTACACTGAACTTATCAAGCTTAATAGAACTAGATATAATCAAGCACAATAGAACTGTTTAAACAAAAGAAATTCGTTGTTATACCACTAATTCTAATATAGCGAGTTCAAGCATAATCAATTTTTTATTTATATATAATTCAGCTTTATTCAAAGAATAAAATATTAAACTATATTTAGTAATATAATTTGATAATTATAATAAAGTATAATTTACTAATTTATGAAATTTTTTGAAATTTTATTTATAAAATAACTATATAAATAAGGAATAACGAGATTTATACCAATTATATTTATTAATGTAAACAATTCATATTTATCTCCATATTTAAAGTAATTCGCCTCATACATTTTATTGTCTCTTTTACATTAAAATTTACACACTACAATTCTATGGGGTATGCCCATACAACAAAATAAAAAACTGGAAGAAAAAAATGGTGTACCATCAGTATTTTATTTGTGGTGTACTATTAGTAAACCATATAAATTATAAAATTTGTTACCTAGATATTTGTTATGTTATCACAATTATTCCTGTATCGAACTAGAATAAGTTTCAATAAATGCATTAACAATAACAATGTTTTCAACTTAATAGTATCTGCTTATTTACTATAAATTAAAATTTATAATTTATTAGTAGGTGACACTTATTCTCTTATAAAAAAAACTTATTAAATAGTTAATAGACAAATACATATCATAAAAAACCATGATTGTAGCCAAAATTAAAATCACGATAAAAATCTTAATTTATATATTATAACAATTAATATACATAATTTTTTTAATAATAAATATTATACATATTATTATTAAGTTATATAAATATTATACAAAAATAAAATATAACAAATTTTTGGAAATAAAAATCAAGAGGGATAAAATTATAGCTTGTTATTTATATTAATTATTAGCATTATAAAATGTATTAAAAGATTCAAATTTTATTTATAATTATTTAAAAGTCAATAACTTAGAAATGAGATTGATTCGATGGGCTTTACAATTAAATAAATTTTAATTATATAAAGTAACAAATCAATTTCTTAATTAGATTTTATATAATTTAATTATACAATTAAATATTTTTTAATTAGGACCAATTAATATAAAGTATAAAATTGTCATTGTTTAAAACATCATATATAAATATAAAATTTAATAATGATCTATGTGTAGGATGATTTTTGTAGTGCACTTTTTTTATATCTCACAAATATATTTTGTATAAAGGTATTATAATATCGATAGAAAGGTTCATCTGGAGAAAAATATTTATTTTAATAGAATTAGTCCCTTTATGAGTGATTTATGCATTCATATTTTTTTATTGAATAAAATCAATTTTCGGATATATAAAAGACCATTTTTTATTTCAAAAATACAGTAAATGATATAAAAAAATAAAAATACTGACAATTAATTAAAAAATGGTTAATTCTTACTTACTCTACTTTTATCTCAATAATCCAATTTAAAATTTAAATAATATATAATTTCTATTTGCTTTATTAAATCTCAGTACATAAATTTATTGATATAAATTAAACTTTAGTTATATATATATTTAAATATTGGTAATTGTATATTTTTTAATAATTAGATTTAATTGAGTTAGCCTGTCAGTTATTAAAAAGTCGTTTTGATAATACATATCATAATTTATAATTCTAAATCAATGAATGTATTTGGAAATTTTGATTTTATTTATTATGTTAAATTTAATTTTATTTAAACGCAATTAAGTTTAATATACAGTGTTTACAAGTCTTAAAACACGACAATACAACTACATAAGAATCTTAATATTCTTTTATTTTATCAGACAGATCAAATTATAAAATATTCTAACTAGTAAATATAATTTTATTAGTTTTCGTAAAGTTATATCAAGTAGATAAATAAAATAACCTTTTATATCTTTTTAATATAATAAAAATTGAAACAAATTATGAATCGAAAGTTTTTAATTCTATCAAAGAAAAAATAATATTACTTTATATATTATTTGATATTATAATGTACATAATAAAATACGGACATTGTATTTTTCGAAGGACTATCAAAATATAATTTTTGATTTACCTAGTACCATATATTGAACTTTGTATATATTGAAATTTTGTATCATATGTCAATGAAATTATAATCTGCTCAATTTAATAGCTAAAGTATAATTAAATATTTCGTAAAATTTCAAATAAATATTTTCGTCAATAAAGTATTTGAATGTGAAGCACTTCACACGTCGAAGTTTAATCTAAGATATTAAGAGTGCCACATTCGATGACTCGGTACAATACTATCACACTGTCATCGACGAAATTATCTATTAGTTCGTGTAATAAAGTCGACGTATTCAACATACGCAGAAATACCAATCCTGTTTATAAAGTATTCTTGTCGAAAATAGCGCGGAATTACTTTGTAACTGGATGTACATGGGATACCAATACAGACGCTCCAATGCCTTCCTCGATATACTATTTTCAGAAAAGTCTATCAATGCAATGAATACGATATATGATTCACCTGCAAAATGATGAAGTCTAACATTAAAAGTTTCTATTCATCGAAGGCCGCTTTTATTTAAAATAGTTTTAATTTGCAACATGTTATCCTTTTCTTAACAACATTTAGTAATTCGAAATTTACTTTACCTGTTTCGTAAAAAACGTTAAGAACTTCTTATAAAATATGAAATATGAATGTAATTTTATTAGATAATTATAAATTTCAAAATAATTATTTTGTTAAATCATAATTTTTTAAATATTTCCCAGTAAAGAAACCATTCGAACTTTCTGAATTTGAAATTTTTCAATTCGAAGTTAAATATTTTTCGTTATATATTTTTAATAAATATTAAATTCAAGTACATCCGTTCATTTTTAAGCCATGGAGGGTAGAATACGAAATGTATCATATTTTAACTTATAAAAGGGAAATAAAAATTGATGAGTGAAAAAAGTAAATAGTAGAGTATACTGTAGTTCTAAAAATTTAATTTTAATTTTTTTTACAGAAAAAAGAAATGAAAATATTTTATAAACTTAATAATATATTTTGCTTCAATTTAATTAATTTAAGAAAACTAATCGTATACATAAGATGAATTTTACTTTTACATAATTTATAGATTAAAATTTATATAAAATGAAACTGTGATGGAACTATTATATGTTATATATGTTATAAAAAAAAAGGAGAAAAAATAACTTTACTAGTCTATTATTTAAGTAGCATATAAAAAAATTTAAAAATTATTAATCAATCAAAAAAATTGATTTGATTCTAGAATAAATATATATTGATCATATATATTTAATATAAATTTTAACATAAAATCATACATTATTATAATTCAATTAGTAATACAAGATTAATGATTTAAAAACTTCTCAATAGATTTATGTTATTCCAAAGAAAAATTCATTAGTATTTATATTTAGACGTATATTAACTACAAAATGTACATGAATGTTTATTCAAAAGGTAGTTATTATTGGAAGGCAGCATTTGTAATATATTTATAAATACAAAAATAATAATGAATATGACAAATAATGTACTTAATAATTACCATATGTTAATGCATTTGTTTGATAAAAAAAGTTAATAATTCAATTAAATATAATTTTTCAATACACATTTCGTTATGAAGAAAGCTAATCAATCGTTGATAAGTTATTCATTAACTCAGAATTGATATATATATATAATAAAATATAAATGCTAAATATAAAAAACAAAAAACTTATTGTAGTTTAAAAATATTTGTATAAAAAATAAATAATATAAGATTTAAGACAGAAGTTTTATAATTTATATTCGATATTTAAAATCAAACTTTCTAAACTCTTGATAAAATTGGGTGCAAGACAAAATATTGTCAATAAATATCAAATCTAACAAACTTTTAAATATAATATATCAAATTTGATTTTAATAATTTTAAAAATTTATCATCAATAACTCTATTAAATAAAATGTAGCAAATTAATGTAACATAAATATTATATTTAACATAATGAATATACAATTAATGTTAAAATTAAGCATATCAAAACATCTACTTAATTTTTGAAAATAAATAAAATATTAAAGTAATTATTAAAATAATAGTATTTTATTGATTAACACAGTATTTTCATTACCGAAAACATTATTTTATTCCATTATGTTTTAATTATTCTTGCCAAATTTCATATTAAGTAAAAAATAATTTTTTCTTTTAAGAAATGGAACTTTACAACAGTAAAGCATTCAAAAAGTATTAAATGTGAAGCTGAGAGGATCGATACAAAAATCCTACAGCACCGTAAGTCATCCGCTTTCATCCATTTCCATTCGTTTGATTTCTGAAAATAAAAAATAAAAAATTTAAGTGAAAAAAAGAAGCAAATATCAGTGGTCTCGATTTAGTATATTTTCTTGGACAATTGAATTTATATAACTCTTATTCCTTCATTCGCCTTGGAATATTAATTAGCGATGATTTCTTTGTAATACAAATGAACATTTACAATAAATTTAGATACGTTATTTATAAAAATGGTTTAATGGATATAAAATCCATTTTATTATGTATGATTACAGAATAAAATTGTTACTAATGTAATCAAATTATATTTTTAATAAGCTTTTTTTAATCCGTGTAAAATAAATTTCAATAATTATATTTAGTATTAAATAGTGACGTGATCATGTAGGTATAATAATGTACATAGTAATTAGTTTTTAGATAATTCGGATAAATTAAATAAATATAATAATATTTATAATAAATGGTTGAAATAGTTTAATTTATATAAAGTATATTATATTGAATTGTTTTTAATTGTATTAAATCCATGAAAATAAATGTATCGATTGAAAATATTCTTATAGTGAATATCTCCATGATTAGACCATATTGTATATTAAAATAGTAGTGCAGATATTTATTGAAAATTAAAAGATGTTTTGTCCAACAGAAATTCCAAAGTATAACAATTCAAAAAAAGAGCGACAATGGAGTAAATACAGAGTTTTTAAGAGATTAATTTACAAAATTTCTTTTACTTTTAAAAGTACTGTCTATTATAATACAATCAACTGTGTATAGATCATAAGAAAATCAGTTTATAATATAACTTTTCTCTCGATAATAATTCGTCTCGATTATAAGAATTACAATTATACGGTAGGAGTACCAGACTTCAATTACTTATAAACACGTACAATACTAATGACTACTAATATTTTCTTTTATATTATGCGCTAGCATTATAATCGTGCATTTCGTATAGTAGTCAAAATATCTAAAAAAAAATCTATATTTTCTACTACATCTTAATGACTTCGATTTAAAAAAAATATAATTTTACCTTTATAAAGTGAATAAAATAATGATACTTAGTAGACAGAGTTGTTTATAAATTAAACAATTATTTATTTGTATATTAATTACATGTATTTTAATTACGAACTATATAAAATTCCAGATACGAAAATTGATTCAAACATGTTTCAATAAAAATTGTTAAAATTTATTGGAAAAATTAGATTTACAATAATCATATATACAAATTTTTTATAAATAAATAATTCAAAAAACGTCAAATAAAGTGGTCAAAGATGATAACAGGCAAATAAGATAGCAGAATGTCAAAATATTTTTATTAACTTATCTATTATATAGATATTCTATAACATTTTACTAAATATTAATATAAATAATGTAAAGTTATGATACAGATAATATAAAGTTTAAAAGTTGCCACACGAAATATTTTATAAATAAGGAACGTATAAGTGAGTTTCAGAGGAACATATGAGTTAATACAACATTTTTTAATACTAATCCTAAGCTAATGTTAAATTAAAAATATGTGATAGCTAATATTTAATTTAAACTCATCTTTTTATAACCAACCTTTTTTCATAAAATTATAAAAAACAGTTATTTTTATTGTAAATTTATTTCAAATAAAAAATAAAGAATATATATTTATGTTACAGTCGATACACGGATAGATGAATTACAATAAAAATTAAAAAATAATTTATAAACAACATAATAATATAATTATTGCTATTTTTTACAATTAATGATTATATTATGTAAGTTTTATATAAATGGCAAATTGAAAAGCTATTTCTTCGTAATAGCTTCAAGGTTTCGTTGGAATACATGCAAAAATAAATCGAAAGGAAAATGAAAGCTAAATTTTATCATGTGCAAGTATGTATGCGGTAGCATTATAGAGAAAGAGAAAACAGGTCGTGGATTAAAAAGAAAGACTAGTCGTATAATTCAATTTATATTATTGATAAAAAAAACTCTTAAGAAATGATGAAATAGCCCACTAGATTATATTTATTAATATTAATAAATTCATTACAATTTAAATAGTTTTATAATTGAATTATAAGTATTGTTTTGAGCTTTATAAATTTGCCAAAATAAAGCAATCCATTTATCAACAGATTTATTGATTTTCCAGTTCAACTTAGCGTCAATCTATAAATAAAGTATATTTTGTAATGAGATAGTGTAAGAACGTAGAATGAGAAAGCTACAGGTTAAAACAGTTAGTGTATACGCTTGTGACTGCATTATCTTCAATGCGCAGTGCTAAAAAATTAGTAAATGAATTCATAATCTGTTATATTTTTAATTATTTTATGTTAAATTGTTTTACTC